TTTCCTTGAATGGTCACCTCATTTGAGGCATAGGCAGGCACAGCTGACGGAGTTAAAGAGGTGCCCCAGGCAGCTGCTTCCCGGGCACAGAAGTCTGTGTTCTCAATTTAGCAGAAAAATAGGAGACATTCTAATGAGGTTAGCATTTGTAGGCCGGAATATTCATCCTAATTTATTTCTTAAAACTGCTTAAAATGTATTTTTTAAGAAAATATGTTTTATTTAAATGTTTAATATAACTTTAATTAATATTTACTTTAGCATTTTGAAGGTCTTTTAAAGCATGTATTCTAAAGCAGAATTTATAAAAGACGAGATTATTGATTTGACCCTAAAAAACAAGTTTGGCCATTAGAAACCTAAAATAGACATTAAAATATAAATAATAAATGGAGACATTATGTATAATTCAATGGTAAGAGATTCTTACAAATTACCCAAGAAAAAAGTGGGTAAAGCTATAATCATTCAATTATTCAGATCGGAAATGAAATGGCTAAAAAAATATGAAAAAAGTTTGAAGTCATCAAAAAGCAAATATATATTTTTAAAGGATTATTTTTTCTTTCTCATTTTAATATAATACTTGGGTAAAAGTGAAAGAACATAACAGTGAAACACTGTGGGTCCAAATAACGGGTGGATTTTACAATATGTATCAGAGGCTCTGAACTAGCAATTCCACATCTACAATTTTAGATTAAGATTAGATGCATATTTTAGCTATATTTTAGCACGCTTCTTTCAGCTTTATTTTATCATTATTTTTTAAATTTCAGTAGGTTTTTGGGGAACAGGTGGTTTTTGTTTACAAGAGTAAATTCTCTAGTGGTAATTTCTGAGAGTTTGGTGCACCCATCACCCAAGCAGTGTACACTGTACCCAATGTGTAGTTTTTATCCCTCACCCCCACTCCCACCCTTTCCTGCAAGTCTCCAAAGTCCATTGTATCATTCTCACGCCACTGCGTCCTCATAGCTTAGCTCCCACTTATGAGTGAGAACATACGATGTTTAGTTTTCTATTCCTGAGTTACTTCACTTGGAATAATGGTCTCCAATCTCGTCCAGGTTGCTGCGAATGTCATTATTTAGTTCCTTTTTATGGCTGAGGAGTATTCAGTAGTATTGTATGGTATATATATACCACATTTTCTTTATCTACTCATTGATTGATGGGCACTTGGGCTGGTTCCACATTTTTACAATTGCAAATGGTGCTGCAATAAACATGTGTGTGCAAGTATCTTTTCTGAGTAATGACTTCTTTTCCTTTGGGTAGATACGCAGGAGTGGGATTGCTGAATCAAATGGTAGATCTACTTTTAGTTCTTTAAGGAATCTCCATACTGTTTTCCATAGTGGTTATGCTAGTTTACAATCCCATCAAGAGTGTGAAACTGTTCCCTTTTCACCACATCCATACCAATATTTTTATATTTTGATTTTTTGATTATGGTCATTCTTGCAAGAGTAAGGTCGTATCGTACCGTGGTTTTGATGTTTATTTCCCTGATAATCAGTGATGCTAAGCATTTTTTCCTGTTCATTGGCCATTTGTATAAATTCTTTTGAGAAGTGTCTATTCATGTTCTTATCCCACATTTTCATGGGATTGTTTGTTTTGTTCTTGCTGATTTTGTTGATTTCCATGGAGATTCTGGATATTAGTCCTTTGTCAGATGTATGGATTGTGAAGATTTTCTCCCTTGTCTGTCTACTTTGCAGATTATTTCTTTTGCTGTGCAGAAGCTTTTTAGTTTAATTAAGTCCTATTTATTTATCTTTTGCTTTGTTGCATTTGCTTTTGGGTTTTTGGTCATGAAGCCTTTGCCTAAGTCAATATCTTGAAGGGCTTCTCCAATGTTATCTTCTACCATTTTATGGCTTCAGGTCTTAAATTTAAGTCTTTGATCCATGTTCAGTTGATTTTTGCATAGGGTAAGAGATGAGAATCCAGTTTCATTCTCCTACTTGTGGCTTGCCAATTATCCCAGCACCACCTATTGAACAGGATGTCCATTTCTCACTTTATGTTTTTGTTTGTTCTGTCAAAGATCAGTTGACTGTAAGTATTTGGCTCATTTCTGGGTTCTCTATTCTATTCCATTGGTCTATATGCCTATTTTTATACTAGTACCATGCTGTTTTGATGATTATGCCCTTGTAGTATAGTTTGAGATCAGGTAATGTGATGCCTCCAGATTTATCCTTTTTGCTTAGTCTTGCTTTGGATATGTGGGCTCTTTTTTGGTTCCATATGAATTTTAGGATTTTTTTTTCTGGTTCTGTGAAGAATGATGGTAGTTGCTTTTCGTTTTTTGTTTTTTTGAGACAGAGTCTCTCTCTGTCGCCCAGGCTGGAGTGCAGTGGTATGATCTCAGCTCACTGCAACCTTTGCCTCCCGGGTTCAAGTGATTCTTCTGCCTCAGTCTCTCAAGTAGTTGGGACTACAGGTGTGTGCCACCATGCTCGACTAATTTTTGTATTTTTAGTAGAGACAGGGTTTGACCATATTGGCCAGGCTGGTCTTGAACTCCTGCGATTACAGGCACGAGCCACCACACCTGGCATGAATGATGGTGGTATTTTGATGGGAATTGCATTGAATTTGTAGATTGCTTTTGGCAGTATGGTCATTTTCATAATATTGATTCTACCCATCCATGAGCATGGGATGTGTTTCCATTTATTTGTGTCTACACCTATGATTTCTTTCAGCAGTGTTTTTAAAATGCTTTAATCTACAAATACAGGAACTTTTGTTTTGAAAGAGAATTTAGATAAAATGAAAATTACATAAACTAACACTTGATTAGTTAGGAGACGATAAAGAAAATTATAGATTATCCTGAATCCTGGATTCTTCCTTTTAGAAAGACAATAAACATATATTTCTATGTATCTACACACACAAAAGAAATATATGTATTTTGAATTAAGGCTCCGAACGGTAGCTCACACCTGTAACTCCAGCACTTTGGAAGGCCAAAGCAGGAGGACTACTTGAGCATAGGAGTTCTAAACCAGCCTGGGCAACAGAGCAAGACCTTGTCTCTACAAAGCAATTTTAAAACTTAGCCCAGAGTGGTGGTGAGCACCTGTGGTCCCTGCTACTCAGGAGGCTGAGGTGAGAGGATCGCTTGAGCTCAGAAGTTTGAGGCTGCAGTGAGCTGTGATTGCTACTCAGGAGGCTGAGGTGAGAGGATCGCTTGAACTCCGAAGTTTGAGGCTGCAGTGAGCTGTGATTGCACCACTGCGCTCCAGCCTGGGTGACAGAGCAAGATCCTGTCTCAAAATAAAGTGAATTAAATAATATATTGGAAGATGATAAGAACTGTGGAGAAAAGTGAAGCAGGAAGTGAGTGGAGTAGGGCAAGAAAAGGAGGTGGTGACATTTTAAACAGGGAGGTAGAGAAGGTGACATTTGAGTTTGGATCAAACAAGGGAAAATTCTACAATTTCACTCCATAGTCATCAACTCTGATAATTTCAATCAGGCTAACAGCTCTTGGCTAAGACACGGTATTGGTCATCTCTACTTGGCTATCCGCTTCAACTTATTTATTTATTTATTTATTATTTTTGAGACAGAGTCTTGCTTGTCACCCAGGCTGGAGTGCAGTGGCGTGATCTCGGCTCACTGCAAGCTCCGCCGCCCGGGTTCATGCCATTCTCCTGCCTCAGCCTCCCAAGTAGCTGGGACTACAGACACCCACCACCACGTCTGGCTAATTTTTTTTTTATTTTTAGTAGAGACGGGGTTTCACTGTGTTAGCCAGGATGGTCTCGATCTCCTGACCTCGTGATCCACCCGCCTCGGCCTCCCAAAGTGCTGGGATTACAGGCATAAGCCACCGCATCTGGCCTCAACTTTTATATTATGACTGACACCTGCAATCCCAGCACTTTGGGAGGCCAAGGTGGGAGGATCACTTGATGCCAGGAGTTCAAGATGAGCTTGGGCAATATAGTGAGACCCCTGGCTTTACAAAGGAAAAAAAAAATCAGCCAGGTGCAGTGGCTTGTGCCTATAGTCCCAGCTACTCAGGAAGCTGAGGCAGGAGGGTCCCTTGAGCCCAGGAGGTCAAGGGTGCAGTGAGCCATAATTGTGCCACTGCACTCCAGCCTGGGAGACACAGCAAGACACAGCAACTTTTATAATATATGCTGTAGTTATTATGAAGTATCCTGTAATAGACACTGTGTTAGTATTCATCAATTCCCTTTTTTGAATCTAAAGGCATGACCTTCTAAAATATATAGTCTTCTCCGTAAGTATTTTCAGCAAATAAAGAGAATTAGGAGTAGAAGAGAAGCCATCCACTGTTTTGATAACCCAGCATCCATTGACCTATTTTTCCAGTAAGAGACCCCAGGTTTTCTTTGGGGCACTAAGCCCACCTGACTTCCAGACAACCTGATTCAGGTGGGGCTGACACCAGCCCTTGCCTCTGGGGGTCAGTGTACTGCCAGGTCCCACCAGTAGGGGCACCAACCCCCCCAGAACACTGTACCACCTGACGTGGAGGAGTGGGCATGGGGCCCGAGGCAGGCCAATGAGAACGCAGACACTAAGATGGATGTTCCCACTTGCAGAAGAGGTGCAATGTCACCCGGTGGTTGCTAAAAAGGCTGAAGGTAGGTGTAGGGATGCTGTTGGGGCTATCCTTGCCACCCTTGAGGCAAGAAGGGAGGGTGAGCCTGCCTAAAAATGAATCAAACCAAGAGTGCAACCACAATTGCACTAAATGGAAAGAAACAGAAATAAAGAGAGATGGGCTCCTCTCATACACATTTGGGGGACCTGAACTCAGCCCCGCCTCACCCTAGGTACCCCCTTAGACTTTTCACATAGCTCATGAGTACATTTCATTTTTGCTTACATCATTTCAAGCTAGGTTTCTGTCACCTGCAACCAAGAGTCTTGTCTAATGCAAACAAACCTTCAGAAGCTGATCTTATTTCCACTGGAAAGCCCAGAAAACAGCATATACTCACCCGCTCCTGCCCAGCAGTGTCCCAGATGAGGAACTTGTGAAGTTCATTTCCACAAGGCACAGTTTTGGTCATAAAAGATGCCCTGAAAAAGAGAGTCAACATCTCCATATTACTGCATTGTTTCTTCACAAAGATTCACAAGTCAAACAAGTTAGATGCTACACCTTAGCAGGACCCCGAAAAGCCCTGGTCCTTGGGAACCACTAAGAGGAGGAAAGGGCTAGAAGATATTCATGACACCCAGAAGAAAATAATCTGCGTTTTCTGTTAGTTCAACTGGGGGCTTTGAAACAAAACAAAACAAAGGACGCATTCAAAAGACTGTGTTTCTGGTCAGGCGCGGTAGTTCACGTCTATAATCCCAGCACTTTGGGAGGCCAAGGTGGGCAGATTACGAGGTCAGGATTGAAGACCAGCCTGGCCAATATGATGAAATCCTGTCTCTACTAAAAACACAAAAAGTTAGCCAGGCGTGGTGGCGGCATGGTGGCAGGCACCTGTAGTCCCAGCTACTCAGGAGGCTAAGGCAGGAGAATCACTTGAAACCGGGAGGTGGAGGTTGCAGTGAGCCAAGATCGCACCATGGCACTTCAAACCCAGATGACAGTATGAGACTTCGTCACAAAAAAAAAATATATATATATATAAAATAAAACTTAAAAATACAAAAATTAGCGGGCATGGTGGCAGGTGCCTGTAGTCTCAGCTACTTGGGAGGCTGAGGCAGGAGAATCACTTGAACTCAGCAAGCAGAGGCTGCAGTGAGCCAAAATCACACCACTGCACTCCAGCCTGGGTGACACAGCAAGACTCCGTCTCAAAAAAAAAAAAGAAAGACTGTGTTTCTAAAACCAGTTAGCTTCAATTATTAAAATACCCCCAGATCTCAGGAAAGAATACAACCTTGGATTTTAAAAACTTATTACAATACTCAAGAGTGAAAATAGCAGCTGGTATGTTGGCATGTTATGGTTTTGGTCTTACAATGGCACCAGACACACAAAAAAGTTGCCTTACATATTTACTATGTCTGGGTGACACAGCGAGACCCTGTACCCCCTACCCCCTAAAAAAAGATATTTTAAGAACAATTGAAAAATTTTAAATTTACACTATATGCAAGATATTATCATTGATTCAAATTAATTTTGGATATGAATCCAACACCAGTAGCAACTAATAGAATACTACATCTAAGTCCCAACCTGCTTGCATAAATTCAAGGATGAAGGAAGATTGGCAGCTTAACACATATTTATGTTTTCTCTACAAAAAAGGAAGGATTATTTTTCCTCCCTTCTGAGTCCAAAAAGAAAGGACATTAAAGCCTCGGTAGATCATGAAACGCTTACTATTTTCTTTTTCTTACTATTTCCTTTAAAAAAGCATTTTCTTTGTGCTCATGAAGGGTATAAAAATACTAGGAATGTTCAATAGCCTTGACTTTTATTAGAGTTTCCTATTCATTAAAAAATAGCAAGCATCCCCAGGAGTGGAACCCGGTAGGAGAGCCTCCTGAAGTGATGGAATAAGAAGTAGATACATCACCTGGACAGCATTCTGGCCACAAATGCTTAGTCTGAATTTAATTGTAAGAAAACATCCCAGCTACTCGGGAGGCTGAGGCAGGAGAATGACATAAACCCGGGAGGCGGAGCTTGCAGTGAGCTGAGATCGCGCCACTGCACTCCAGCCTGGGAGACAGAGCGAGACTCCGTCTCAAAAAAAAAAAAAAAGAAAAAGAAAAGAAAACAATCAGGCAAATGTAGAATGTGAAACATTTTGCAAGACAAGCTGGCCTGAATGCTTCAAATAAGTCAATGTCATGAGAAGCAAACCACAAAAATACAGGGAGATTCTTCCAGAATCTAGATTGAGAGAAAAAAGATAAAACAACCAAATGCAGTATATGAACCGTGGCTGGACCCCAGATTAGGGGAAAAACAGCTTTAAAATATATTTGGCCAGGTGTGGTGGCTCTTTTTTCTGTAATCCTAGCCCTTTGGGAAGCTGAAGCAGGAGGATGGCTTGAGGCCAAGATTTTGAGACCAGCTCGGGCAACAGAGCAAGACTCCTTCTTTACAAAAAAAAAAAAAAATTATTTTTAAATCAGCTGAGCATTATGGCACAAGCCTGTAGTTCTGGCAGCTCAAAAGACTGAGGCAGAAGGACAGCTTGAACCCAGGAGTGTGAGGCTGGTAGTGAAGCGCCAAGATTGCCCCAGTGCACTGCAGTCTGGGTGACACAGCGAGACCCTGTACCCCCTACTCCCCAAAAAATATATTTTAAGAACAATTGAAAAATTTTAAATTCACACTATATGCAAGATATTATCATTGATTCAAATTAATTTTCTAGGTATGATCATGGCGCCCTCATTATGTTCTTATTCTTAGGAGATGGACCCTGGGGCTTTAGAGGTAAAGAGTCAGGGATTCTTTCCCTTACTTTCATATAGTCCAGCCTGGTCCACTAGGATTCATCATAGTAATATTTCCTCAGCCTCTAAATCCTCTAAGAATAAGAAGCCAATTACAGAAGTCCCAAGTAGAAAAGTCTACTGCAAGTCCCACACTATCCCCACAAAAACCAAAGGCTTGTTAGAGAGTTCTAATTACCAACCCACAATTGCACTAAATAGAAATTCTAAGTATTCTAAGTGATAAGATCCAGTATTATCAAAACCACATCTATTCCTTCATTTCTTTAAAAGTGTTTAAAATGTATATCCAGACTACTGGGAAGAACTAATATATTCCAAAAATGTTAAAATCTTTATTACTTTTCCCATTTTAAAAGCAACATATGTATTTCATAAAAAAGAAATTCAAAAAACAAAAAGGAAATAAAAACCAATCATATTTCACCATCCAGCCATAGTCACTGCTAATAAATTGGTGTATATCCTTCCCAATTATTTTTATACAACTTTTAAAATGGGATTATTCATTCTTTTTTTTCCTTTTATTTTTAGTTGATACACAATAATTATGCATCTTATGGGATACAGAGTGATATGTATGTACATGTATGCAATGTGTAATGCTCAAATCAAGATAATTAGCATATTCATCACCTTGAACATTTATCATTTCTTGGTGTTGTGAACATCCAAAATCCTCTCTCTTCTAGCTTTTCGAAAATATACACTAAATTATTGTTAGCCTTATTCATCCTACAGTGCTACAGAACACTAGAGTATTTTCCTCCCATCTAGCTGTAACTTTGTTAACCAACCTCTCCCTATCCTTCCCTGCCCCAACCCTTCCCAGCTTCTAATAACTACAATTCTATTCTACTTCTATGAGCTCTTTTCTTTTCAGCTCTTGCACATAAGTGAGAACATGTAGTATTTATCTTTCCATGTCTGGATTATTTCACTTAATGCAATGTCCTCCGGGTTAATCCGTGTTGCCATGAACGACAGGATTTCGTTCTTTTTTTACGGCTGAATGTATTCTAACATGTATACATACCACATTTTCTTTGCCCATGAATTCGTTTTGGTTTGGTTTTGTTTTGTTTTTTTGAGACAGGGTCTCACTCTGCCTACCAGGCTGGAGTGCAGTGGTGCAGTCTCGGCTCACTGCAACCTCCATCTCCCGGGTTCATGCGATTCTCCTGCCTCAGCCTCCCAAGTAGCTGGGATTACAGGCATGTGCCACCACACCCAGCTAATTTTTGTAATTTACTTTAGTAGAGATGGGGTTCTACCATGTTGACCAGGCTGGTCTCACACTCCCTACCTCAGATGATCCACCCTCCTTGGCCTCCCAAAGTGCTGGGATTACAGGTGTGAGCCACCGCGCCGGCCTCCCTTCATTTGTTGATGGACACTTGGGTTGATTTCATATCTTGGCAGTTGTGGATAGTGCAGCAATAAATCCGTGAGTGCAGGTATCCCTTTGATATACTGATTCACTCTCCTTTGCATAAATACCCAGTAGTAGAACTGCTGGATTGTATGGCAGTTCTATGTTTAGCTTTTTTGAGAAACCTCCATACTGTCTTCCAGAATGGCTGTACTAATGTGCACCGTGTTTCATTTACAACAGAGTACAAGAATTCCCTTTTCTCTTCATCGTTGCCAGCATGTTATTTTTTTGTATTTTTAATGACAGTCATTCTAAGTGGAGAGAGATGACATCTTCCTGTGGTTTCTAATTCGCATTTCCCTTATGACAGTGATGTTGAGCATTTTTCCATAAACTTGTTGGCCATTTGTATGTCTTTCTAGAAATGTCTATTCAGATTCCTTGCCCAATTTAAAACATTTTATTTGGGTTTTCTTTGCTGTTAAGTTGTTGGAGTTGCTTGTATATTCTGGATTTCCATCCCTTTTATTACAAAGTTCAAGCTGAAAGTTATAAGCAGTAAAGTAGTCTTCTCAAGAAACTTCAAATAATTGAATAAAATATTTTATAACCTGAAGGTAACTGGCCACTGCCCACCATCCTGGTCCGTTTAATAGACATCATGTCAGGAGTTTTCACATATTTTGACTTGTAATTGTTCTGCAGTGTGAAATGTCGAAAGTTAACCTTGGAGAACTAAAGACTGAGTCACATTCCTCATCTGACTCCTCTGATGTTCTACAGTTTTGATCTTTGGGTGACAGCCTCAGCAGGCACATTACATTTCTGCTGTTTCATCAAAAATGCTTATTTTGATGTCTAGTGAGTGTGAAATCTGGATAAAGCCTCTGCTACATACATTACAGTTATATGATTTTTCTTTAGTATGGACTCTCTGATGTCAATTAATGCTTGAACTCATGATGAAAGGTTTGCCATACTCGTTGCATTTGTAAGGGTTCTCCCAAGAATGAATTATTGGATGTTGTGGGAGAAGTGAATTGTGCATGAAGACCTTGCCACACTCATTTTATTTGGAAGGTTTCTCTCTGGTATAGATCACCTGATGGTAAGTGCTGACTGCACACTGAAGGCTTTGCCACACTCCAGTGACACTGTGTGGAATATTTCTCCCGTATTACTTTTCCCTTTGGGGGATAATTCCTTGATTGCACATATAGGAAAGATATCCCTCCGAGAGAAAGAAGCAGAGAGTTCCCAGAAGCCA